GGGGGGGGGGCTTACACTGAACCCACTTAACATTGTGCGTACAGGGCATCTATCAAACTGTACCGCATCGCATGCACGCGTGTGGGTGGGTTGGCTACCGGCGGGCACCGTACGACGCTATAGTATGGTCAGTGACAATAGGCAAACCCACCGACACTCCTCCGTGCGATTCGGTTCGGTAAACGGAGAACGGGGCTGAAGTTACATCCATGTCTTTATTACCTATTGGCTCAAGAGGCTGTCTTAACATTTTGCACTTGTTCTGCCTGCTGTGGACATTCACGGCGTTAAACTTGACGGCACGCGAGAGATTTGGAATGACCGAGTCGTATCTTGGTTTTATTACTTGTGCGTTGGTCAGCCACTGCTTGACAGCGTCCGAGTGACAGAGGTGTCGTCCTCACCTTGGCGCCAACTCTTCCTCTTGACCGCGCGGGACGCCCCGCTGCACCCGGCTGCGCCCGCGTCCTTCCCGCGCCAACATGCGTGTCTGATCAGCTGCGGCCCTGCACGCATATAAAGAACGTTTGCTAAAACAGCTCAAACAATAGGCCTAAGATTGCAAACTTTGCCTGACAGGAAAGTGCGCAAAATATTTTGCTGCCCCAAGAAACATTTTGTTACTGGAGCACAAAATTACGATAAAACGGCTAACACAATGTATTTTTTTCGGCTGTTTTTGCATGCGCTTTAAGGGGGATTCAGAGTTATCAAAAAGCGAGCGCAATTCTCACGCGCCAGGCGTGAATTTCACGTTCGGCGGGATGAACGAACGTCGGTACTTTAAAGCTGAGGGAGAATGAAAATCACGCCTGGCGTGAACGCTTGCGGTTCGTGAACGCTGAATCCACACTTAATATTTATTTATTTTTTGCGTGTGCTTATGTTTGTTTTGCCTTGGGGCTTAAGCTATGGGCCGGTGCCTGCCGGGTCACCGCGCTCGCGCATGAGGAAAACAAACAACGACATTCACGTGTTTCGTTATTTGAGGGCATCCTGTGAATTCTTCATCCAGGATGACTGGCAGGCAGGTGGGCGCGTAGCAGTGCTGATCTGCTCGCTGGACGGCCTCTGTCTGATAGTTGTTGTTTTTTGCCTTCATTCGCGATGAGCTGCGCGGTATTGCGGCGGCGCCGGGCGCCGGTGACAACAAGTTTAACCGGTGCGGGTGACAAGCGGTGACAACTTTTTAACCGGTGGGGGTGACGAGCGGTGACAACTTGTTAACTGGTGCGGATGACGAGCTGGTGACAACTTGTTAACCGGTGAGGGTGACAAGCGGTGACAGTTGTGAACTGGTGCGGGTGACGAGCGGTGACAGTTGTTAACTGGTGCGGGTGACGAGCGATGACAGTCGTTAAACTGACAGTTGTTGCCGCGCCCCGCGCGATGCGATAGCCAGGATCCCCCAGCCTGAGATTAGCGCGCGAGAAAAGTCCTTATCCTTAATTACCCTTCACCACCCCTGCATCTGCTGCAAAACCACCTGGCAATCGTCGAAAAACCTGGAAACATTATAACGTTGCAAAACCGCGGCAAAACGTCGCAAAAGAAGGTTTTTTTTTACCATACGGGTTGGTTGAGTACGTTGTGTATGGGGTGTGTGGCGCACGCCGCCGGTGTAGTAGAGGGGGGGGGGGGGCATGGCCGTGCACAAATGTGAAGTGTGTGTATGGGATCCACGCGGCGGACGGACACACTGCTGCTGATTCGTCGACAGCTGGGCAGCTGGCGCGCAGCTGGAAAAGGTGTTGGGGTTTGGGCTGGGGAGGGGAGGGGCACCTTAAGGAGTGGGATGGGAAGAGCGTGTTTGGTTGTCCGTAAGCAATTGACAGTGTGCTGAACTGAGCGTGACAGTTAAGTCACTATTCTTATCGCGATATACCCGCGAGTCTGAGAGTGTTGTGTTGAGTCTGGTCAGAGCCGGCGGCGGGCTCCAGTTTCACGGCCGAGTAGTGCCATGTGCCGCGTGCGGTGTTCTCGGCTCATCCCTAACCCGTCCGTAACCCGCCCCCTCTTCGCCACACACGCCAAGTCTAGTTCAAGGTCAAGAGTTCAGGGCTGGTTGGCGAGACAAGTTTGGTAGCGGTCCGGTTCGGTTCGGTTTCGCGTTTTGGTATCGCCCATTGCTCCGGTCTGAGAGAAGCGCCGCTACTGCCTTGGCCCCCGGTCGAGCAGGGTGACAACACGCCACGCCACTCCGCGACACGGCGTGGTCTAAAGTGTGACACTTTCTGACTTTCAGAAGAGTATGAGAAATACCTTGCGGGCCCGTTGTATTAGACACATGAAAGTGTGAGCAGTTATGTTTTATATCTTTATTTGAAAACTAAACGGTTCCCTGGAGCAAACTAAACTCTGTATAATGGACTATTACATTACAATTTTATTGCTCGCTTACTTTCAAGTGTTGAGCCTGCCCGTCCCGCGCCGCACGACCATTGTCACAAAAGACGGCGAACGATCGTGAACGATTGTCCGATGATAGCAGTGATAAGGGTGCCCTCACAATGAACGTTCTCGGATGCGACTCCCCCCCCCCCCCGATTATATACATTTTCTGTAAAATTACCAACAATGTTCTTTACTATCCACAGAATGGGTACCTCAGCGATACGTTTTCGCCATCATGGGCATGCTGGGCATGATCAACTGCTTCACCATGCGCGCCTGCCTGAACGTGGCCATCACCAGGATGACGCCGCCGCCCAACACCTCGACGGCATCCCTCGAGGACTCGTGCCCCTTCGAGGCGGTCAGCGGCCCTGCTTCCAACATTAGCACTGTTCACCAGGTATAGTGGGGCACACCAACCACGAAGTTCTTTACCCCGTTTGGGGCCCTTCAAATACTACTTGACACACAACAGACAAATAGTACGGGGTCCCAAAATGATCAGGAACATTATATTGGAGTCCAGAGAGACCCCATTACACGATATTTGTACCCCGAGGTACAAATATTATGTGTTCCAACGGGCTTCAGTGAAAGTCCAGATCCTTTTGGGACCCCATTATTTGTACTCCCCTTCAAAGTCAAGTGGAACGACCATATTGTCACCGAGATCGCTTCCGTACTAATGTACTTTATCATTTGTCGCTCGCACGCAGGAATACAGGTTCAATTGGGACTCGGAGGCGATCGGCCTGGTCCTGGGCTCGTTCTACATCGGCTACATCCTGACGCACATCCCGGGCGGCGTGATCGCCGACCGCTTCGGCGGCAAGCACACGCTGGGCTTCGGCGTCCTGATCACGGCCATCTGCACCTTCCTCACGCCCTGGGCGTGCGAGGTCGGCGACGTGGCCGGCGCGGTGGTCGTCAGAATCATCATGGGCCTCGGCGAGGTGAGTTTAGGTTAACGGCATAATAATTTATCAAGAAGTAACAAAAACTTTCTGCTGGAGCAAAATGTTTCCCAGTGAAGCATACTGTAAAAATGAAATCAACAAACTTTTTAGCAGATGATACGTTTAGTTTAGTATCAGTCGAGGTATCAGCAGCTTGTCTTAGCGACACGTTATTTTCTTTGTCGCTTGCGAGCTCCCGGCCGTACTCCGCGCCCGAACAGTCAGTTGGACTTCGGAGCAGGATGGGCTGCCTACGCCACGGGCGCATATGTCTTCTTGCCCCCACGCACACAGTCAGACTCACGCATTTCTTTTCGATAGGGCGTCACGTTCCCCGCGATCTTCGTCCTGCTCGCCAAGTGGGCCCCAAAGCAAGAGCGTAACCTGATTGGCACCATCGTCCTCGCTGGTAAGTGCTGTCGTCTGGGCCGGGTACAAGTCACTTTGATTTCTGTCGCTAATCCGGCCGCCGTGTCACAGGTCCGCAGGTGGGCACGCTTGTGGGGAACGCGCTCTCGGGGCACCTCTTACAGTTGTACGACTGGATCACAGTGTTCTACGTGTACGGCGCCCTCGGCCTCGCCTGGTAAGTTACATTTTGTCTTGTTTGTTTCGCGGACGTTACTGTTGCTGGTCGGGACACTCCCTGACTGGACTGGACTCGGACTTTTCGATGCTCAGCAGCTCGTCTCAATGAAACCGTTTTATTATTCTCATTTTTATGGCGGCCACGCGACCAAAGTCGGTCGGGCGTGGTGAGTGGAGCCCCTCGGCGCACTCGGTTGAATGCTCTTTTGCCTCACGCCGGAAAGACCTAACAAAAATACCTTGACGACAGGTACTTCTTCTGGCTAATCCTTTGCTATTCAGAGCCAAGCGACCACCCATTCATATCCGATAAGGAACTGATCTACCTGAATGAAAACGTAACCGGTGCGCAAGAGGACAAGGAAAAGCAGGTACAAGACAAGACACGTGCTTCTCGTTTTTGTTTTGTTGCGGATACGGATGGAGAGGGGTATTGTTTTCCAAGATTGAATGACAACACTTTTCTTTTGTTTTAGCACGCCTCGACGCCTTGGGTACCCATGCTGTCGTCCTTGCCCGTCCTGGCGCTCATCCTGACCGAGGTCGGTCACGACTGGGGCTTCTACACCATGATCACCGACCTGCCCAAGTACATGTCCGACGTCCAGCACTTCAACATTGCCAGCGTGAGTAGTGCGCGACTCAGGAGGACTCCCCTTCGAGCGCTGAGTGGTACCCATACCCACCCATTGATGGTGGTAATAACGAATCCATCTCTCCCGCTACAGAACGGCATGCTGTCGGCGCTGCCGTTCCTCTGCATGTGGATCTCATCCATGCTGCTGAGCGCGCTGGGCGACTTCATCACGAAGCAGCAGGTCATGTCCAACACTCTGCTCCGGAAGGTGTTCACCACCATCGGTAAGGAATCGTCCAGAAGGTACCTATATCCATTTTTCCTCGAGATTTATTCGGTAAATTGCGGGAGCCGGGCGCCTGGGCGCCTGCGAGACTCGCGGTAGGCCACCCCGCAGTACATGTATGCACTGCGAGCGAGATGTTGCCTACCCATCAGGCGCTATGAGAGCTTGCATGGCATGACAGTTCCGTAACGTGAGTGAGGGGCGTACTTTCTGGAGGCAGCGCGGCCGCCCCTAGCGCTGGGCAACGCCGGCTGAGTAGGCAACCTTTCCAGCACACAAGCCCCACTGGAAGTCTGTGACGGCTGGTTGGTCTGACCGTATCTCTCTCCCTCCCTGCCGAGGGGTGGATAACTCCTGAATTGGGTGTACAAATTTCAAGAATTGAATT